TACGTTCAAAAGCCCCTCAGCATGGTCCATAACTCTCTCTCCCGGGGAAAGTACACGTAATACTACCTTTCCCCCCATCCACAGTCCTTCCTCACCAACTCAAGATGCTCCTCTCCTATTAAAGAAATGAACTTCGAGGCACAATCCTGATAACCTAGAACGTTGGGAGTCTCTTCTGGCAGGAGATTCCCTCCCGAAGCAAAACGCCCAGAGGCAGAGCTCTTTTCTCCTTGCCGAGCGGATTCGAGCGTAGCATCCATGGCTATAATAAAACGAAGGAAGGGGAAACGAAGACTTGGGCAAAAGATTTGAGTTAAAGAAAAATTGGCGCAAGGAAGGAGAACTCGATGAAAGAGGGTAACTACTCAGAGTAGCGGAATCTCCAAAGGGGCGAAGACAACCCTATATTCGGGAAAAGCGGCGACCACTCGCCTGCCTCGGGGGCCGATTAAAAATATTGGCTAAAGCTTCTGTCGCTTTGGAAAGATACGCCGGCAGAGTCGACTGGGCCATTTTGTGACCATATCCTACACTCGACGTCGCCATACGACGCTCCAAGGTCGAAAACCTCGCGTCGACCAAGTCCTGAGGTGGTACCCGACCTCGAGGACCTCCATCAAAAAGAAGTTAGGCTCCAAGGAGCCAACAACATCGTCACAAGTCCCGAGGTGGTACCCGACCTCGAGGACCTCCATCAAAAAGAAGTTAGGCTCCAGGAAGCTATTGGCATCATTACAAAACTCAAGGTAGTACCCAATCTCAAAGGCTCCTCTCAAGAAGGATATAAGCACTTAAACTCCACCCGTATGGGCTTGGCCCCGGGTTACCATCTGAATTCGGGTAAACTCTCGTCCGGGATCTATCTACAACGCCTTAAGGATATTTACGCTAAGTTCAAAGCAAGTTTCCAGGTGGCCCGGGTTTGAACGAACCCCCACTCGGGGACTGCTCTCGAAAGCTTAAAGGCAGTCCCGATCCTCGGGCCTCCGAGCAAGTTTCCCCTCAAAGATTATTGCGGGGTCTAAATGGTAAATCTCGGTCTCAAGGCTCGAAACACTATTTTCTTTTCAACTCGAAGTCAAGGCCTCGGTGACCCGAGTTTATCGGTCCAATCCAGGCTCGATCCAAGGAACATCAAAGGGTTCCACAGGAAGCCGTATTAATCAATCAAAAGTCAGGAAAAAATACTCACATCTGGGCCCGATATTGGCACCAGCCGGTGGAATCACGCATTCAGAGTCTCCATAAATGCAAATAAAGGAAAATATAGCAAACATCAAATACAAAATTGGGGAAACGTCTTTGTATTCATAAACACTTCATTACAAAGTCCCACGAGGGGTCCTTACATATGATTACAAAAGCCCACGAGGGGTCCTTAAATAGAAACAAAGAAGCAAAAGGGTACACATATAGTAAAAGACAAGAACCTAATCTATTCTCAAGGTTTCACCCCCAGCGGCAGCATCTTCGAGCACCATCTCCTCGGGCATGCATCCTTGGCGGCAATGTCTTCGACCGCCACCTCCTCTGGGGTCTCATCTCGGTCCTCCAGAATGATATCTCCAAGAGAGAAGATGAAGAAGAGGAAAGTGGTGGAGGAGAGCAAACTGACGCAGAAGAGGCAGAAACGGGGGAAGAAGTGGCTGGGTGAAAAATTTAGCTAGTATGGATTTCACCAGTAAGCCGCTTCTTGAGACGTTACCCCGGTGTGGGATACGACGGTGAGTAGATAGTACCACCTCACTCCGTGGAGAGCAAAATGAGTGAGGCGTCGCACCGGGTAGTCGGGGGAAGTGAGCAGCGGTGTAGAATCCGACCACCTCCTTGAGCAGCGGTGTAGAGTCCAATCATTTCCCCCAAATTAGGAGAAATCGGCCTCTCTGCCTCGTCGCCTCGAGCCAACGACAACAACAACAACAACAACAATAACAACAACAACAACAACAACAACAACAACGACAAAACGGCGTAGTCTCGCTCAACAAAGAAGGGCCCTGAAAAAAGGCTATGGTATGGATGGTAGGAACGCCGCCATGCATCTTTAGGGCAGTAGGCCTCAAACATGGTGGGCAACAGTCGACGAAGACGATGAAAAGGGAAGGATGGACAGATATTGCAAGACACTTGAATAAAAGTTGATTCCAGGAGGTTCCCATTTATAGGAAGGTCGACAGCGTAACCGATGTCGCCATTAGTGTCTTTGAAAGACGTATCGCCAGGCGCATTTAATGCATCCTTGGGAGTTGAACCGGCAACGACATCATTGCTTTGAAGAATAAGAAATGGTAGTGCTATGAATAGTTCTGAAAGATGAAGCAATGGGATTTCTCGGTTATCACGAAGGCTTACATCATCGGCATTACGACATCGCAGGAAATCCGGAAGGATGGTTATCAGGGTCGTTCCTTATCGTCTTACTCTAAGAAACGCGGGGACTATCTGTATGCGGTCAAATCGGAGGGTCCGATTTTCGGCCGTTATAACGCTTCATATGCAAAGCTCACTAAAGGCTCGGGACCAGGGTTGAGATTCGCCTTGAAGGGCCATCGATGCTCAACCTCAAGGCGGCGCAAATCGACAGCTACGATAAAAAGAGGGGAGTTCCCAAGACGTGCAGCTAGAGCCGACAGAGCCTATCAGACTAGGCCTGAACCCGGGTCAGGACGTCAACTAGCTGTCCCATCTCCGTATCTTTGTAATTAATGCATTTTGTACTATATAGGGATTTTCCTCCTATATAAAGGGGGTCCTGGCCATTTTGTAGAGATCTGGTGACTACATATCAAAATACACAAGAACATTCTCTCTGCCCTCTAGCATATTCTCCTCAGGTCATTGCTTCATTTATTGCTTACATTCATTGTATTCTATTTATTGTTCTTCATTTATTGCTTATTATTGGCCAAAAGAGCCGTCATTGATCTCATTATAACTGTTAGTCGCCCATCGACTACCCTCGATAGCTCCCAGCCGGGCATCCAACTCGACCTCAAGGCCCCGAATAAGCAACCTCGAGCCCCCGACCGATAGTAATTCGGTTTGATTAATATCTCGTTTTCAAGCTCTTATCTCGCTTCTAAGTCTTTCACATAGCATCAACTGCTTAACAACTAGCATAAAAATAGATCACGTATTTTTAGAATCCCATAATCAAATTTAATTGTTATTACCATTTTCACGGTAAAAACAAACAACGAAACAATCTTCAGGTATCTTTTTGGTTTTTTCCTAAAGTTTATGTTCTTTCGTTTAGCTGGTAGATTTTGTGTATTTATGTGGTTTAATTAAATTCTTAATTATTAGAACTTGGCGGCAACTCGGAACTTATGTTCTTTAGATACCCAGCTTATCTGCGAGTTTTCTGATTTTTTGTATATAAAAAAGTTTCTAAAAAGAAATTTTTTAATTGATTTTAAAGTTGTCCTAAATATTAGGTAAATAATTTAATTATTAATTTTATCCAATGCGAAATATAATTTTAAAGGGGGAAAAAGTTGAGCGACATTTCATTAAGGGGCATCATATTTTTAATATAGTGTAAATGATCACTGATCTAGGGTAATTGGTTATCAAAGTCATTTAAAATTTTTTTCCGTCATCTAAAAATTACTTTACCTAATCAGCCTCTATAGTCATCTTCGTCGGATTTTTTTATTTTCCGATGAGATTTTATGACATGACAAATTTAATTATAAGAAACTACTTTCTCCGTCCCAATTTAACAGTCTTTTTAATACTTCTTATTTCTCGCAAAGAATTTAATAGAAGTAATTTAGGCCTCATTTGTTTTCTTTAAGATTAAGACGTCTGAATTTGAATACACATTTGGATATCAAGATGTGTATTAAGATTAAGACATTTGAACTGAATACACATCTGAATATATCAAGATGTGTATTAAGATCTGAATAGAAATAATTAAGACTGTTTAATTTTAACATCTGAATGTACAAAATTTATCTTTTTTTAAAAATTAATAAACATAAAATTTAAATGAAATACTAACTAATCTAATATTCTATCAATAAAATATATAGCTTTTTAAAATATGATAGTTGTTGGTGGTGATGGCTAACGGGTGAATGTCTACTAGAGGCGGTGGTTGGTGGTAGTTTTGGTTGATGATGGTGGTTCATGCTAGTAGCTAGTAGTGATTGGTAGTGGTGACGATTATGATTGAGGATGGTGGTGGTGGGTGGTGATACTTAATAATGGCGGGTGGTGGTAATAGTTGTGACTGAGGAAGGTGTTGGGTGGATAGAGGTAAGTTATAAGATTACTACTAAAAAAACTGGAATTAGCTACGAACGTCGTCGCTAATCTGTCGCTAAATTGCCCGTAGCTAGCAAAATTTCTTGATAATCTGTTGTTAATCTGTCGCTAAATGAGATTAGCGACGGATTCTCCATTTAGCAACAGAATTTGTCCGTCGCTAAAACTAGATTTTTTAGTAGTCAGTACCGGCTGTGATTGTTGATGATGATGGAGTGGTCAGTTGTGGTAGTTGAGGTGGATGAGTGTTGATTGTGGGTGAGAATAATAGTGGTCGGAGTGGCGGGGATAGTGGTTGGTAATGGTTGATAATGGTGGCGGCTACAATTGAGGATGATGGTGACGTGGTGGTGGTGGTTGAGTATGGTGGTGGTGGCGGCATGGTGGTAGTTGATAATGGTAGGCGGTGGCGGCAGATAATAATGAATATGTGATAGCATCTTAATGAAATTAAGTCGCTGTTATAGATCTTAATCATAAAAACCTATTCAGACCCATTAAGTGGTTGTGAAGTAAAAAAAATAGTTAATGATTAAAATCTGAATAATTAAGATTCAGACTTCAAAAACAAACGCACTTAATGTCTAAGATCTGAATGATAAAGATTCAGACCTCCATTGAGTGCAAACAAATGAGGCCTTAGTAAATTATCCCTTGTAATTATTATTTTTTCACATGAAATAAGCTAAAGCGATAAATAAAATGACATGAAATAGTGCACGCTCTGTCTTTACAACATATTTCAATGCTTCATCAAAGACGCAAAAGTCACAAGCTGTTCCTTTCTTGACACTTTCTCCCAGCTTGACCAAAGAAAGTTCCACAATTTCCAACTAAAGAGATAAGTCTTCCTCCATTATTATTGCTCCTCACATTTAACCGTTTTCCGTATTCCCTTTTCTACACATATTCAGCCCCAAATTAAGATCCTCAAAATTTTCAAGTCAGCTATGGAGATTGACACAGCCAACAGTACTATATCGAATTCTTCTGTTAGAGACAGCCTCCTTGTGGAGCAGGATCAAACATCACGACGCAAAAAGAAGCTTAAATTCATCATCATTTTACTCATCGTTTTCACTTTCATCATCGGAGCCATAATCTCTGTTTTCACGACAATGAAACAGGACTTCGAGTCAAAGTCACCAGCCAAGAACCCAACCATGGCAATCAGATCCATCTGCTCGTTGACTCAGTACCCTACTACATGCTTCAAGTCCTTATCTCCTATCTATAAGAACAACCCATCATCCAAAATCAACGCATCTCGAATTTTCTCTTTCTCGTTCCACACAGCCATAGATGAACTCAACAAACTTTCTACGCTCTTATCAGAGTCAAACGACAGGTCCCTCAAACACTGTGAATCTATGTTCAACGACTCAGTTCGTCAATTGAACAGCTATTTAGCGACTTTGGATGTTAATTTTCGTAATGAGCTAAGCTTCGTTGTATCGAAAAGCTTGAGAGAATTGATGGGGTGGTTATATAGAGAAACGCCAAAACTTGAAGTTTGTCTGAATAAGTTGAGGTTCGAGTATATGTTGAGCAGTAGACGAGTACTGAGCAATAGCTTAACGATTCTGAGCAATATGGAGAGTGTTTCTGAGATGTTTTATCCAATAATTGGAAGTGATCAAAGTATGGTTGCTTCTTTTCTGTCTAATGTACAATTTGTGGATACCCTCTGTATATTTGGGGTACAGTACATTCTCTTAGTATTTTTGTTTTGTCTGCTTTTACGCCTACTCTGATTCGGGTAATTAATTGATTCCAACATTATTTCTCTTGAGTTTGAGTGTGATAATATCCGTGTACCTAAATGTTGTACACAGAAATTTCAAACTACTTGAAAAACTACTTACATCCCCTCCGGTCCAAAATAAGTAATTTTTTTGGTCTTTTTCTTGTGGTCCAAAATAAGTAATTTTTTCAGATTTCAAGAATGAGTTAATTATTTTTTTCCTACATTGTCTTTGAGTAAATAGTGTTGGAATATGTGTTAGGAGTGTTTATGTGAAATAGTAAAAGTTCATATGGTCAATTTCATTGCTAATTAATGTTAAAAGGTGGATTTCTTAATCTGTGTGAAAATATCCAAAAAATCACTTATTTTGGACCGGAGGGAGTACTTCCCTACAATTTATTAGCTATAACTGTCAAATGTTTCATATTCTCGTAAGCTAGCTTAATTTTGAAGTAGAGCTAGACACAATGTCTATCTTTAACACTACTTCATGGATTGACAAATTTGTGGATTTTTGTTTTATGAAATAAATATTTAAACAATATGTATTGAGAATTCACACACTGGAAAAAAAACCTATACTTTGATCACTTCCAATTATTTTTTTTGGGGGGAGGAGGAAGAGGGCGAGCAAGGAAACATGGGACTTGGGGGAACGGGGGTGAGGAGAGTAGCATAAAAAAATATTTTCTGCTCTCTAACCAAACACTAGAAAATATTTTCTGAAAAAAGTTTTCCACTCACCAACCAAACAAAGGAAAATAAGTGACAAATCCACTCATTTTCCATGAAAATATTTTCCTTCGTACCAAACACACCCTATATGAGAAAAAAATGAAGGCAATCAGCTGGATTAACAAAAAAGAAAGAAAATTTATTTCGATGATCAGCGAGTTTCCCACAGAAAGAATAGTATTGAGTCGTGTGTGCTGATTAGAAGGTAGCAGGTATCTCGTGGAATTAGTTGATGTACGTGCAAACTAATTAACGGGGACATCACGGTTATCAAAAAAATACATCACCCAGAATTTATCCACTTAGTCCCATATTTCCGCTGCTATTATGTTCATAAATACTTTAAGGTTGTGTTAGATGTTAACGTTACTGAATTATACCATTGTCCCAACAAGAAGAAGGGGATGCATAGAAGAAAGATGTACTTCGTGCAGAAGATCATTGAGTTCGTAACCTTATTTCTTTCTGGGTAATTTCACATCATTTACAAGAGAGACCATGATTGAGATTACTAAAATTTGAACGTATGACCATTGTATTCTTTTGATTATTGAACTAATAATTCTCGTATCACCAAGCCATAACACTAATTTGACATCATTAAGAACGTAGGATAAGACAAAAAAGAAAAAACAAGAACAAATACTGCAAAAATAAGAACCAAACATAAAGATCATATTGAAAGAACTCCAAAATCAAAGAACCAAATACTGATCCTGTTCCCGGATAAAATATGTCAAAGATTTCATCCACATTTTTCAAGATTCCTCTGCTATTCCTCATATACTGCTGACACATTCGAGTTCTCCGTTTCATTTCCGCCGCCACTGTTGACTCTGTCATCTCCAACCAGTCAATGCACCTCTCCACTTGACCCTGGGCCTCACCAATCCAACTCTGCAAATCCCAAACTAATTTGTTCGTGGCGAGAATTTTCTCATCTGGGTCGTCGCCTAAACTCTTCAATGATTCATTGAGCTGAATGAGTGAGAACTTGAACATCCCTTGACATTCCTTCAATAATGACTTTGTTTTAGGCTTATTTGAATGTAAGACTATTGTTTCGGGTGCTGACGAAGAAAGGTCAAAAAGCTCATTCATGGAAGCGTGGAGGGAAAGCATTAATATTTGTGAAGGGTTAATTCTGTCTCTGTTTAACCATAATGGTGGAGGGTTCACATCTGCATAGTAAAAGGAGGCGATGGAGTTGACACATGAATCTGGATTTTCACTGAGGTTAGGGAGCCAACAGACGGTTTGGATTGCATCAAGTGGGTAATTGGAGAGTGATTTTGACTCGATTTTATGTTTGAATATAGTCAGGAGAGAGACGATAGTAACTATGATGAGAGTGAAGAGTATTGCCAGAAGGAGTACCGAACGTAGTTTCCTTTTGAATCTTGAGGATGATGGTTGATTTTGGACATGGAGAAGACCTTCGTTGAGGCTGTTGTTGGTTGGTTTATCCATTTTTTGTTTCATGTTCAAAATGTGGTGGTATTTTGGTGGAAATAATGAAAAGAAGAAGATATTTATATGTATGGTCAACACAAGAAATTGCTAAGAAGGTGGAAGCATGTAATACTTTTTCTGGCGTGGAGAAGAGGGAAAAGGGTGGTGGTGGTGGTGGCGGGGGGGGGGGGGTGTCTGGTGGTTGGAATACCTGTAAGCTACGATGGTTTGACTAGTTTCGTTCTTTATTTTGTTGAAAACCTAGTGAACTAAACAATCTAATGAACAATAAAAAAACCTTCTCATATATGTTGAACAATTGACTGCTTCTTTGGTTTTTCTTGTTTTCTTTTGGACTTTCCCTTTAAGATCAGAGATTTTTCGTTGGACTTACTAGGCTTTGATTTGTCATACCAGATGTTTAGTTCATATAATGAGCTATATAACACTAGCAGTTGGGAATGAGGCTGCAGTTGGGAGTTCAAAACCAATGTGATCATCAACAATATACAGACTCATGATTACTTCAAAAAGAAGATTTTCATGCTTTATTGATAACCCTTGAGAGTGAATTTTGTGAAAGGAGCAATAAGGACAATAAGAAAAGAAGAAATAAGAAATAAATTGTTGTTTAGGTCAAAGGAGCTAGTTATTCCAAGACTATTGAAGTGGTCTAATTTACTGCGAAACCACTGTTTCCTTTTCTTTGTTTTGAAAGGGTCAGGCTTTTAACGAAGGGAAGAAGGTCAAAAATATTCCTACTATGGTTTATTGTTTATTCATGCCACCCGTTATATTTTTTGTCCATTTTTATCCCTACCGTTAACAAAGTTTGTAAAGTTACCCCTAACCCTAATGTACCTCCACTGTGGCAGCTGACCCTTCTAATATTTTGACCATGTCAGCAGCCAAGTCAGCAGGTCCCACCAAATAAAATGTCATATCAGCATTGGAAGTAATTTAATCCACAAATAAAATTGAAGGGTTTTTTTCCTTTTTTTTTTTGCATTATCTTTTCCCTGTGATTTCATATGCTCATTTTGAACTAATTGCACATATTGAAATGAACACGTGTTCCTGTATTCTCTTAGAAAAAATCGAATGAATAGAAATTTTGAGCTGATTTTTTTTCAATGTTCAAATTTTTGATACTCTCACCGATTTTCTCCCTATTTCTGATGAAAAACTCTTAAAATTCATCTCTGTTCTGTAAAAATTGTTTCCTTACTGTTTCAGATCTTACAAGTTACATTTTGGGTGATTTATTGGCTGTATCTTTTTATGGATTGGCTCAATTTTTTCGAATACATAGTCTGATTTTGATAGTTATTCTTTCTTCGTCTTGTGTCCCCTTTTGTCGCGCAGTAAAATGTTTAAGAAAATTATAAATTTTTTATCATTTACACTGGATGAAGGAGGGGAAAGGCAGTGGTGTTTTTCCCATTTTTAATCAAGATCTGTGGATCTCGCCTGTTTTCATGCTGAATGAAAATGAAGAAGAAGAGGGAATAGAGTGAGAAAGAGTAGAGGTAGTCAGTGGTGGTGGCCTTGTGACTTTTTCGGCGAGTTTCGCCGGTTCCATTTGTTGGTTTGGCAGAACGGGGTTGCTGTTTGAATGACGAAACATGAAGAAGGAGAAAGGAGACGAGGAGGAGAGCCAGTACCGTGGAGGTTAGTTTTGCCCGCTGAAAATTTTTCGGTGAAATGCCATGGTTTCCAGCGATTTTGGTATAAGGTGAGGGAGAGAGGATGAGAGAAAGGATGGAGAGATGAGGAGTGGGGGGTCGTTTATGTTAGGGTTTTAATTTGGTGGGGTCGATGACATGGCAGCTGACATGGATAAAATTGATGAGGCCAGCTGCCACAGTGGAGAGACGTTAGGGTTAGGGCTAATTTTGCAAACTTTATTAACGGTCAGGACAAGAATGGACGAAAAGTATAACATGTGGCACAAATAAACAATAAACAACAGTAGAAGGATATATTTTACCCTTTTCCGTTTAACGAATACACAGAAATGTATATTATAAGTTTAAAACTTTAGGCTCATATATACTCTACTCAAACTTAATTGTAATTTTGTTAGCCCCTCCGGTCCACAATAAGTGACCAATTTGCTTTTTTATTTTGGTTCAAAATAAGTATCAATTTATATAATCAAGAAAAATTTCAATTTGTTTTTCCAAAATTACCCTTATGTACGTATTCATAAAAAGTCATTTACTCCTCACATTTGAGAAGAGAAGTGCTACTATAACTATGGTGCAACATTTAATGAAGGTTAGCTTAGTCACACTAACTATTTTCGTCTAGAATTTAATATTTTCTTAATGGGTGTACCCAAAGCAAATTGATCACTTATTATTGACCGAAAGGAAAGAGTAGCTAGTTAAAATGAAACGAATTTCAGACTAATTCGACTGAATTTACAATTGAAGTCCAGGTAAAGGCAATCAATGAGCTGATTGTGAGTATGGCATCCTATACATTAGGTAAATAATAGTAGGCAGCTAATATGCTCGCATTGATAGCAAAATCTTTATTTGGATCCTTATAATGTTTATTCACACAGAAGACAAACAAATTGAAGTTGCAATACACTTTGTCAAAGTGTGAATTTTCCAAGTATAGTTTCCTCTTTCCTTGGAAGTAGAACCCTCTTTCCTCTTTCCAAGATAGATGGGATCTATTTTCAAGATGATGAGATCTATTTCCTTACCAAGCCTTAAAAGTGAAAGGCTACGTGTAAACATACATGTATCCTTGTTTGTTGAAAGTAATCCTTTACATAGGGTTGAAATCTCAATATTGTTCCAGCCACAATCTTCTTTTACAACAGGAATACTGAGTGGGCAGATAGAAAATGGGTATCTACCAACAACTTTGTTTTTTGTCGTTTTCAGGGTCAGAGGAATCCTTTTGAACATGGAGATC